AAATACATTATAAGTAATGTAAAAGTAATATTTGATACCAATTTGTTGGAGGATTTGATGAGTATAGGACGAATTAAAGAAAATAAAATTAAAAATATAAATTTAAGAGAAGAAAATTGTACTCAAATTATACTCTCAAAATTTAATTTTTATGATTCAATTTTTTTTTTTGGGAATGATGAAATACTATAAATGAACAATCTTTGTATATTACATTTGATACATAAAAAATAATTCTTAATAAATAAATTTAAGCACCTAGTAAAATTTCTAGATACATGAATATGAATAAATTCATTTATAATAACTATAAATTCATGTAATTCATGATTCATCAAGTGAAAATTCATTGAATCTAGATTAATGTGAATGTTAATTAATTGATAATTAATAGCACAAATTTCATAAATGACTTATGTAGTATTTATTATATATTGAAAAATTAAAATTAATGTATTATTGAAATAATTGAATTGTATGGGGGTTCAAATTGTCCAAAAAATGAATATCCTGATATTTTAATATATTATAGATATATACTTAATTTAATTAGTCTTTTTTTTTTATATAAAAAATTGATTGAATATATGTTTGAAGAGTTGTAAGCCTCATAAAATATGTATTTAACATTAATTTGCAACTTTAATTTAGATTTTAATAAATTTTTTTAACTAAAACAAATAGGGCATAATATATACTTGTTTTACGTGTTGGCATTTGATAATTTAATAATCCAACATTCCATATTTTTCGTAAATGAGAGAAAAATCCACCAACACAAAAATATTATAGATGCAAAATACAAAAAAGCAGCGAATGCTTTATTTTTGCCAATTTTTCATCCTTGAATTTTCAAATTAGAAAAATTAGCATTTATATGACTATTCACTCGAAAAGAGATTTTTTCAAATGTTATTTATCAATTAATATTTATTAATAAGTGTGTCTTATCCTCATGGAAATTCAACCACACAAAAAAAAAAAAAAAAAAAAAAAAAAAAAAAAAAAAAAAAAAAAATCCATTGTATAACTCTATCTTAGGCCTGTTTGATATAAATTTGTGGAAATAGATTTTATGAGATTTCTTTTAGAATTTGCGATTTCTTTTAGGATCTGTGATTAAATTTAGAAAAAAAAATCAACAACATTATTTCATTAGAAGAATTTATAGTTACAAATTAATTTGAAAAAAAAAAGTTTTTATTTATCTTTACCAAAAAAATGAAATATCTTTTCAATAATTCTTCACCCCCATTTGTTTTTTGAGAAAAATTCATAATTAAGAAGTTAAATATTATCCATTTAAAAAATAAAAATAAAGGTTTCAAATTTCAAAAATAAGATATTTATTAAAAATTATTTATGATTTAATTAATTAATTATATATTTATCGGTTAAATATATTAAGGTCACAGATCTATATAATTTGATCACAAATCAATAATTTAGTTAATTTTTTATATGTCAAAAATTATTTTACGTTTTCAATTCAAAAGTTTTATAGGTAACAATTTGCTCGTCGATCATAGATAAAAAATTTATGAGTCACAATTTATTTATCGATCACAAATCATAAACATTATAAGTCACAACTTTTTATACAATCACAAATTATCAAATTTTCGATCACAAATTAACAATTTTTTATATCACACATCATTTCTTGATCATAATTTATATTTTTCGTTGATCACATATTATTTATTGATCATAGATTAACCAATTTAATGACCACAGCCAATCCAAATAATTTAGGATCACCACACCACACCACCAAGGCCAACCAAAAAATTCCCACACCAACCATCACCATTGTCCCTGTCACCACCACCACCAACACCGCCACGCCGCACCACGCCACCAATCCATAACCACAACCACAGTCATCGCCCCCACCAACCAAATGGTCACTAATCCCACCACTCACAATCGCCATATAATTGCCATGACCACCACCATCACCTCATCGTCAACACTGTCTTACAATTTGTAACAAAAAATAGAAACAGAGGAAAAACCCCACACCATCTCACCACCACACCACCTTCACGACCACCACCACCATTACCCTAGTCGCCACGTCCTGATCTACCACCAAGGCCAGCACCTCCACCTGTACCACAATGAAACCAAACCCCAACAATACCAAAATATGGACACCACAACAACCACTCCAACAACCAAAACCAACACCTCATCGTCACTATCAAATCCATCACCACCTGCACCAACCACTTATACCACACCACACTAGCATCACCAGCAGCCAGCTAAAGGACTCACCACCGCCAAGGTCCCAGCTTCACTTCGTCAACGCTGTCTCCAATTGCTATGAATTATTGAATTACACAATAAAGCCCCTACAACCACCACCCTCATCGCCACCGC